TCAATGGTTTCTGTTAGTGACCATCTCCCGCTTCTCAAGTGAGGTCACAATACCTTGTCTAATATCCTGAATATCGATTTAGAACAGCATTCAAGCCTCTTCACAGGCATTCAAGACATAATGTTAACAAAATAATAACAACCTCCCAGCTGAAGCACTCCTTACAATTTTCAAAGGCTTTTCACATACATTATCTAATTTGATCCTCACAATAGTCATAAGGGAGACATCTGCGATGTGGCATTATAGCTAAAATGTTTTACCTCTAAAAACCATTATGCTGAGAGCTCTATAATTCATGTCCAAAGGAAAACCAGGGTATAAAAATTTAGCTTAGAACAGTGGCCCACGCCCTGGCTAGTGTGGCTTAGTGGACTGAGTGCCGATCTGCAAACCAAAGGGTCATCAGTTTGATTCCCAGTCTGGGGCATAAAGCTGGGTCATGGGCCAGGTCCCCAGTAGGGGGCATGTGAGAGGCAACCACACATTCATGTTTCCCTCTCTTTCTCCCTTCTCCTCTCCAAAAATAAATAAATACAATTGAAAAAAAGTTTAAAAAAAAGAATGGTGGTCCTTTCCACCTACTTAAGCCGAGAGATTATCTGAGCATGTTTTCAGATATATAGGTAAGTTTATACCTAAATGGACAAAACTGGAGCTTTACTTTTGATAAAATCATTTTGTAATCTATCTAATTCTGATTAGTTATTGTTATTAGTTATTAATAACTAATAATAAAACTTAGGGTGCTCTGACTAGTTTGGCTCAGTTGGTTGGGAGTTGCCCTGCAAAGGGGAAAGGTCAAGGGTTCATCCCTGGATGGGGTGCATAGGAGAGGCAACCAATTGATGTTTCTTACCTTCTTTCTCCCTCCCATCCCCTCTCTCTAAAAATAAATTAAAAAAAAAAACAAAAAAAAACTTAAGGCAAGATTTGTCAAAAGAACAGCAAAAGCCACTTAATGTGTTTACATTTAAGCAAATGGTTCCATGAAAATTCAAGTTATAAAGGAATTGAGAAGCCACACAAGGGACCATAAGGTAACCTAGACAGTAGCAACAGAAGAAGCCACTGTCTGTCCCCACCCCCAACCCTCCCCAGACTAGAAGGATAAAGGGAGATGGCATAGTGACCTAAATCCAGGGACTTAGGCACCTGGCAGAAGCTGGAAGCTCTCCGGAACCTCAGCCAGGGACACTGGGTGCTGTCAAAAGCAAAAAGAGAAATAGCAGGGAGAAATATCTCGGGATGCTCTCTCCTCCCCAGCCTCCAGTCTCCCTCCAGTCTTTCCTATTGGCAATCTTCTGGGGGGCCAGGAGCCAAAGACACAGGAAAAAGAAATGAAGAAGAGAGCATGTACTAAACAGGCTCAGGACATGCATACAAGTTGGAAAGGTTTTTGAGTGAGGAACTGTTTACCATCTAAATTTAACAGCCACAAGATATTGAATAGCAGCACTCCAATGACTCACAACAAATACTTGTCTTCTTACAATGATATACCTATAATTTTTCAAAAAGTAAAATAAATAGACTCACCATCCAAGATTTAAACCATATTTCATAGTTCTCAGTGGCTTGAGAACTTTGATACCTTTTTCCCCTGACTTGCTCCACAGCAACCAGGGTTTTTTTGCTTTTTATACATACCATGTACGCAAAATGTTTTGCTAATTAATTGAAGGTGAATGACTTAAGTGTTGGTGGTAATTTCATTTTTCTTAACCTTAAGCAAAGCAATTAGAACCATTGTGAGAACGTCTATCATATTAATAATGCGATTATTCCATAATTGTGTAAACGAAACCTAACATTTTCAAAATTGCTTAACAAGTCCATTCTGGGAATGGATACAGTGTGGAAGATAGAAGATAACACATAATAAGAAAGAAAAAACAAGGTAATATTTTGCAGTAAGAACATTTCTTTCATGCCAAGAAGCTTAAGGCATACATTAAATTTTCTGCACTCAGTAATTGGGGGTTCGCTGAACAAACCCCCCCGGAGATCGGAGCCTTTCCTCCCGGCACCGCTCTCGGGGTTGGGGGCCTCCCTCTTTCTTTGCTGCCTCCTGCTTATTTGAATAAATATTTCCACCCACTCACCCACTCTTGGGCTTTTTTTTTTTCTCCCTCAACTCTTGTTTTCCCTCTTCTCTTTTCCTCACAAATACTGCATTCTGTGCTACAACTGGCAGCTTTTCCACTGCTCTCTTTCTTTCTCCCAGCACCGCCCACGTCGACAATTTGTGAACACCCACTCCTGGGGAGGAAATGTCCCGAGTCAGTACGGACATCTTTTTATTGTGTTCTTGAAAAGATCCTAGCACCTGTCCACCCTCCACTGCCCCGGCTTGCCAGGCTGGCTTTCCTTGCGGCTGTAGCCACAGATTGTTCAATGGCTCAAGCCTTGTGTCACCTACATATCTACCTGCTTTCATCTTCACACTGTCTTCTAAGGTACAAGTCACCTCCTAGCCACTGTTAACTCCCACTCTCCAACGCAGATACTCTAGTCGTCTTTCTGCTTTTCCTCTGCTGTCAGAATATCATCTGCCCCATTGGTCAGTCCTGCAGATACATTCTAGCAGAGCTGACATCGATTGACAGTGCGTCTCTCTGCTCATTGAGAAAGTCATACCACTGACTTCATTGTCATGGGCCACAGCCCCATCTCTAAAACCTGCTAGTTACATACCCCTATACTTGATCCATTTCATGTCTTATCTTCTCCAAGAGCAAGTGTCTATCAAGGGTTAAAATAAACTTTGAAGTTACACTCATGCTAATGTTCAGGCATATTACTGTCTCTTTAAACAGCATAAAATTGATTGGGACAGAAAGATTCTACTCCCAAATTTGCTGTGCACTTGCTCTGTAACCTTGGACAAATGACTTGACTTTAAGGATTATAACACCTCATCCATTGCACAAAAGTGTTGTAACGATTAATGCATGTTTTTAAGGTGATTTGAGGCTCTGCTAATGAAAGATGCTATATAAATGCTAATTTTTATTATTCAGTCCCACATCTATATAGTCTCTTTCAGCTAGCTGTCTCCTAAACTGGTCACCATAAGCAATTATTAACTATTAAAGTAATTAATGAACTCTTTTAAAGAATGAAAATGAGGAACTGAGTTTTCATTCTGAATTCTGAATTTTCTTCCTTTCTAAGGTACAAACCTTGTGATCTCTAAGTCATTTAAATGCAGATCTTTTGGCTGAATCACAGCTCTATATTATGCATATACTTAATAATAAGGATATAGAGATTTGGGAAAATTACAAACTGAACAAACAGTACTTGGATATACAGTCTATTGTTCAAGCACCCACAACCTGTACAATATCAAACCCAGAAAGATTTTTAGGCTTTTAGATGCAAAGTATTTCTATAACAAGAAAAACATCTGATGTAATTCCATTCTAACCTCTTTAGCACATGTAAAGAGCCATTCTGTACAGAAGACTCCATACGGCCATGATTTTTCCAGTAGTACATCTGAATTATGATTATTTATGATGCTATTATGTACACACTCAGTGAAAACCCTTTTTAAAACTTTTGTGATTTTTGTATAAACATTATGTAGTTTATGCTTATGTGGTCATTATTAGAGTAGAACTCCTAGGCTCTGTGATATACAAGTTAGAAATAGAGAAACAGTAGCTACTCTCCTAATTCAAAATGACTGAACGCCTTTGCCTGAGGATGCTCCGGCCGGCCACTCCGGAGTGAATTTGGCCTCACTGCCCCATGCCTCTGGCTGAGGAGGATAATTCTCTTCAGAAATCCTGTTTCATTTAATATTGATCTAGAATTTAGAGACTTGTTTTAAATCCCATCTACATTCTCATTTTGGCCTAGAATTTCCTTGATTCAGTTTGGAAAAACCTCATAATAACACCACTCACCAAGTTACTCTAGCCTTTCAGAATCTCCCTTTGTTTCAACCTAGTAGATGTATCTTTGTGAGGCCAAGGGAGAGACAGTTGCCCCTGGGCGCTTTAACACCAGACCATAGGACTCTCAGCATGTGTCTGATGGAAAGGATAGGTAACTAATGATAGTGTCTTTCTCTAAATAGTGTCCTATGAAGTAATCATATATTAAAACAATTGGTAATACATATAAAAGAATGCATGTATTGCATTGTATACTGAACACACACAAATATATCAGCAGTGACTTTACAGCAGAAATTCAAGGAAAAGGATATAAAAGTCACATATGAAATAGGAACAGGATGTATGTCGAAAGACATATTCTTTAGATCTTACTTGATTGATGACAATATTATATGAATGATTTTGATAGCTATTGACTATTGTCTACTTTACGGGTGGAAAAGAAACTGGGAGAGGTTTGCTTTTTAACAAAAGCCATATGGTTCAACTTCAGAGTCCTGACTCTTAGCCTGTTCAATTTATATTCCTCCTGAGAGATCACAGTTAAAGACCAAAAATTTTAGTGATCATCATTCTGCAAGAGCTAAGAGCAAAATATTTACTCTAAGAGATACTGATCTAATATAATAATAGTTTATAATCAGTGTAATGGTAGACCTTAAAGTTACATCACAATTTTTGTTGTTTTTAACAGCTGCTCTCACACAGAAAATCCAGATCTTGGTTTAAGTTTGTAGTGCAATCCATAAACTTCTTTAACCACCAAAAGACCTTTAGTGCCTAAGAGATGTCAGGAGGACAGGGTTTCTTTTATAAGTGCTCGACTTGGTTTATGAAGCATTAATTATCCTTTTAAATATAGAGGGTTCCTTTTTAAAAACATGATCTTGAAAAAGATGATGCTGATACACTACTGGAAAAACCATATATCCAGAATGTTCTAATCCCAACATGCCAAAAATTCTTATTGATATGTAACTGCAAGAGCTAATGTGACTCTTCTCCCTCAGTTCAGTGCCACATGAATCAGTCTCTCCCATTCTTTCTATATACTTCAAATGTCAAGAAAAAATTTATTCTATTGCTTACCTCTAAAGAACTCATTGATATGGTTGATCCAGTTTCACTTCTTGATAGTCCTGCATTATCATCCAACTCAGAGGCCATGAAATTCTTCACAGCTGTGCGGGGCTCAAAGGGTAAATTCTGCATATGTTCCTGGGGTGCAAGATGTTGATCTAAGTTCATATTGAACTGGTCCATAACAGGGGGATTCATGTTGAATTCAGGATTTACTTTGTAGTGCAATAGCCTTTCATGTGGCAGGGTTTCCATGCCAATATTCATTTTGCTTTCCTCTTTCAATGATGGCTGGGTATTTACAGAACTTCTGGGCATCACAATATAGTCACTTTCCATCATTCTTTCCTGAGGATGGACTATGTCCATATCAGCCCCTCTCAAATTATCATCTGTACATAAGTACACAGTTCTCCGCAATTCACTGTTCTCTTTTTTCAAACACTGATTGCCCAGCTCATTCATACTCATGGGCATGTGCAAACCTGTGGGTTGTTGGATAATGACTTTTGAAATTACATTTCCAGGCAGTGTGGAATAGCTTAGCTCTTCGGGGTTTGTTCCCTTTTCTTCTTCATCATCATTTAAAGAAATCCTCGAGAGTGTCCCTGTTATTGTTGCTGCTCGGCAAGGACCAATATCCTTATGAAGAACTGTGAATTCAAATATGAAAGTTCAAAACAGAGGGTTAATGAATGTTTACTTTTCATTATTGTATTCTGTTCTTTTTTTATTAAACAATTTCCTTAATAAAATAAAAAGTTATTACTTTAAAAATTACATATCTACTATTTGTACATGGGCCAGATTACTCTACTGCACTTTATTGATTCTGATATACTCTCAAAGACCTCAAGTAGCCCACAGCTAAAACACATCTGAAAGTTGATTAGTGAACTTTCAGAAACCTCAGTCCCCTATCCTAAACAACTCTACATAACTTTTCAGAAGAAAGAGTACCAGAGAAGTTTTCTCTATCACTCTACTGCATAGGATTTTATAACATTATGGATATATTGGGTTGGCCAAAACGTCCATATGGTTTTTTTCTATAAAATAAAAAACACATCTTTTATTTTCACCAATAGCTTTATTGATTTGGATATTTTGAGTATGTCAGCTATCTCTTGCATGGGATGATGTTGATTGATCTCTTAATGCCTCGATTGGATTGCTATCAACTTCAACTGGTATATCCAACCATGGAGCGTGGTCCAGTGAGAAATCTCCAGCACAAAACTTCACATTTGACCACTTTTGACACATTTGATCAATCACAACACCTTCTCCATACACTGCACAAAGTTTTTCTTTGCATTTCGGTTGTGTTTAACCTTTCTTGAAATAACAAAGCATAATAGGCCAAAAATATGTATTTTCTTCCATCTTCAATATTAAAATGGCTACATGGAAATTCACCAATTTTGATGAGTATTTTTTAAATGCATGTTGATATGACAGCTGTCACAATACAATGTAACAAAATTTTGAATGACATTAAAGATAACTTAGTGCTGCTAGAGCCATTGTAAAAAAATAAAAATAAAATAAATGAACTTTTTGACCAACCCAGTATTTCACATGAATTTTACTTTTTTGTAAAGGCTTTCCCCATAAGTATTCTACAAGTGTAATCATGAAAATACTTCTTGAAAGAGGTAATCAATAAGAATTCATCCTACTGCATCAGAAGTCCTTCCAAAAATTATGCATGTTGAAAATTAATGAGCATTTTTATCTGTGAAGTCCATATGGTTAAGGTAGATGCAGGTTTGAAAAGTATTTATCATCTTCAGTTCCATGTAGGAAAAGCAATTTTTTTTATACACAATAAATCCATATGCTAGAACACCCTTGAGGGAGTACTAAAATTGCCAAATGAGTTTAAGCACAAAAACAAACAAACAAAAAACCTGTCTGAGCTTCTGAAACCTCCGTTCCATTTTAAACCTGAAAAATAATGACTTAGAAAAAAATAAAAAATGCGTGATAACTTATAGTAAGAGAGGGAACAAAATGAATATATAAAGCAAACAAAAACAAAACACTCAATGAAAGAGTTCAGAATTCTTTACTAAAATATATTTTAATTTTTTTGCCTTTATAAAAAGAAAGCCCTGGCTGGTGTGGCTCGGTGGCTTGGGTATCGTCTTGCAAACCCAAAGGTCACCAGTTCAGTTCCCAGTCAGGGCACATGCCAGGGGTGCAGGCCTGGTCCCTGGTTGTGGGTGTGCAAGAGGCAGCTGATCTACACATCTCTCTCACATCAATGTTTCTCTCACTTTCTTACTCCCTCCTTTTCCATCTCTCTAAAAATAAATAAATAAAATCTTTAAAGAAACAAAAAGAAAGCCATATTTCATGCAAAATAGAGGTAAAACAACCCCAAGCATATTAGTTGGGGAATACTTACAGTTATGAAGTATAAAAGAATGAAATTCTGAAGAAATATTCTCAGTAATTTTGGTACTGAAAGCACACAGAGCAGTATTGTGTGCAGCCTGGCTCAACATGTACACCTAATGCTGCTCTATCTACAAAGCAGATCAGTTGTCATTGAAAATTCCATTAGGCATAGACAACTGTAAACTATTTGGTTTATTGTCTCTGCTTGAGAAGTTTCAGATACATTGAATTCTATCCATTATTATCCAATTATCAAATAGCATCATAATTACTGTGCATTACAGCAGGGGTTGAAAAATAGACTACAAATGTGTTTGCCTATTACAAAAAAGACAAGCCTTCAAAATTATTTCAAAACATGCATCATTCCTATATTATCTTTTATTTTTAAAGATACTGTAATTCTTGTATTAGGTCTCCTTACTTTAGATAAAAAAATCATGTTACAGGTATATTTTTTATTAATCCACAATTTGGTTGTGACTTTTGTATTACAATAGTTTAAAAGTTATTTCCAAATCTCTTAAAATATTAGAATGATAATAAATTACAGTTGGCAAGAACAATTTACATGAAAATATTAAAGAGCAAAGTATGTTAAAATAATACATTTAATTATATTTTAAATAAAGTACTTTTAAAAATCTCCATATTCATGGGAGAATACTTTTAATCCTTAATTGTATGTAAAAATTAATCAAAAATTCATAGCAGTAAAATTTAAAGGCAAGTTATAAAAACAACTTATTGTATGAAGAACATATAATCTGATACTTTTATGAATATATTATAAACTATAAAGGAAATCTTAGTACTGAATGTTGATTTCATAATATGCATTTTTACAAGATTCATTTAGTTTTGTATAAATGTTATAAGATTTATAGTTACAGTCAGCAGATTTTTATGAAATGACATAATCATCTTTATTGAAAATTTGTGTAACAAATATTCGGGGAAAGAATTCTCATAAAGTAGTGTCAACTCTATGTGAAATAATGTCAAGCCTCTTAAACTTGCTAAAAATGGATATCCAAAATTTGAATATACAACATAAAAAATCCACACCGTCTACAAACATGAATTGGAAGTGATGGGACTTTTGAGGGAAATTATTCAAGTTGTAAAAGGCAAAATGCAAACAAAACAAAACAAAGCACACCTGAATATCTTACATGGTCAGATATATGCTTCACCTTTGGGAAAGTGAATTTCAACAAAACTTTAAGATTATTGAGTCCATGAATTGAGATTTTAAAATTGAGTATACCTCAACATGGACAGAAATCTCTAGAAAAATTTAGAGACAAGTTCCTGATGAACTCAGCTAAAATGAGCAGAGACAGAAAATGAAAATATTCAAAACAGTATTTTGTAAGAAAATAATGGTACTGGTCTGTATTAGGAATACTAAATCTCAGAAAGCAGTGAATTCTGTAAAATACAGGTACATTAACAAAAGATTTGAAAAATGAATACTTAAGAAATGAGATCACAGCTTGGGTTGGGATGGGTTAATATATTGTTCTCCAATGTTGGTTAGGGTGCATCTGAATTACCTGGCTGGCAGGTTAAAACACTGACTACTTTACCCAGTCCCACAGTAGGTCTGGGGTAGAGCTTGAAAGTTTCCATTTCTAACAAGTTCCCAGGTGATGCTAACTCTGCTGGTCTGGGGACCACACTTTGACAACCACTGGTTTAACATCAATAGATGGTAAAAGAAGACAAAACTACTATTTCGCTTCTCTATCAAGGCGAACTATAAAGAATACACCAAAAGAATTAGGAAGAAAATTAAATTGAAAGTAAGCTAGGAATTTAATAAATTCAAGCTTTCAGGCCCAAACAAATCACATATTACCTTGGAGCACAGATGTGCAACCTGAGACCATGGCTAGTGATCTTTGAGAATTATGGAAAGTGGATAAAATAAGGGAAAATGTTTTGTCAATTTTCCAAAAAGGGAAATGGTAAAGTTTAGAAACCAAACACTGTCTAACAATAGTTTGTTACACATGAAACAGGACACGGTGATTCCTAATACACTACACAGGTAACCAAATAATGACAGTTACTCTACTGCTCTGCTGTGATGATACTCTACATGGAGTATTTTGATACAATTCAGGAATGAGACTGAGATGATTCTCTCATATTCTTGTGATTATGACAATTCTGTGATCTCAGACTCTGCATAGATATTTAAAGGTTATGAGTTGAATTTGAAACCTACGCTTAGAGGGAGTCTGAATGTGGTAGGTGGGGGGTGCCTTACACGGCAGGGTTCTGTACTCATTCTCATCCCATTTAATTCCTTTATCGACAGTTGAGATGACAATTTAGAAGGTATCCTCATCAAACTTTCAATGGTTAATTTCAAATGAATAGAAGGCTAACCTCAAACTGGTAAGATAATAGCAAAGAGAGATAAACACAAAGGACAGATTTTTCTTCCAGGTGGGGAAAAAAAAACCAAACAAAAAATAAAATAACAACAAAACAAACAGAAGCTTTTCATGACTTTAGGCTTGGAAATGCATGACCACTACTACAAAAAGTTTTAGAGATTTTTAAATCTCTAAATTTAAAAATTTAAATTTTTAGATTTACATTTCAGATTATACTAGTTGACACTAGTATAGTACCAGCTACTATGTAATCAGATGCAAATGTAGATAGTATAAGAGCCAACTGTGATAAATGCTGGATATGTATGTATATATTTGGGCACCATGATTTAAAATTAACAAATTGGAGGCTACCTGGGGCACCACACCTGCCTGGGAAGGTGCTATGAGGAATGAATGAGGAAACGTGGTTTGTTTAGACTGGAGAAAAAAAGAGTTGAATTGGGCTGAGTGATCTTTGCTCTCAAATACTGGGATATTTTGACAACAGTAAAACCAATGAATAAAGGGTAAGATAAGGTATATTTTTGTCCCAATATAAAGGAGCATTTCAACAACAGGAATCATCCAAAAAGTGAAATGTGGTTTCCTTGAACACTCTTGAGTCATCTACTCTTGGTGAAATCTTAGCCACAGGCAGGAAGACAACCATCAGGGACAATGTCAGTGGGACATTAATACTGAAAGGCAGATACTGTAAGGGTGTGCTGCATGGTTTCTTCTTGTTTTCTCTAAACATAGAACAAGAACAGCCATGATACGCATACACAGTGGTATTTGATTCTTTTAACAACAATCCATTTTCCATAGATGATGACACTGAGGGTTCAGAGAGACTAGACTGACGGCATTACGCCTGACAACCAGTAATCAGTGCAGTGGGGAGCCTTATGTTTCCAAGTCAATGCATCCCGCTGTCACGGTGCTCCCAGTGAACCCTTCTCAGTCTCTCTCACATTTTCTCGCTTTCTCTTTCATTCCCTCCCCACCCCCATTCTGCTATTACATTGCGATATTTCTATTTGAAAGATTGTGTTTATGAATAGAACTCCAAGTATTCTATTCACCACACAAATATATCATGTGTAAACCACAGTATTTTTTTGAAATCAAAATCCATGAAAATGATTTAATATCTCTAATGATTATCATTTCAAATTCAAATATTCTTACCTGACCGACAAGCAATGTCTACATCCTTTTCAAAGTCTGTCTGTAACAAGAAATAATAAGGCATAGAATCATCATTTAATAAAGACATCAAGTAAGTTTACTAACCAGATTATCTAAAGTTTACAGATATCTGACTATGCATTACCAGGTTATTATTTTGTACAAAGAAATTTTCTCAAGGAATAATCAAACTGTTTTCAAGAGTATTTCCTAGAGACCGAATGTTGAATAAAATCAATGGAAACATGACACACAATTTTGATAAGGCAATAGAATACTCATTGTCATTTTCAAGGTCAAAATTTTAAGGCAATTCCTTAAGCTATAATGAAAAGATTAAAATGGCACTACTATGAATATACTTCAATAAATGCCTTTGTTATTTGTATAAGCATTCACTTTGTATATATTATTTGCAATGTAGTATCTTATCATATAGCTCTGTCAAACCCTTAATAGTCAAACCAGTCTTTTCCAATGATTCATTTTCACTTAAATGTGACAAAACGCTTTCAGGCTTAGGAATTAAAATTGAAGATGAAGTAATACTAATCTGGCCTAGAAGCTGTCAGAGTTTTGTTCCATCATATTTCCTCAAACTTCTACTTTAAATAAATCAGTTTATTTTTATAATGATAAAATTAAATTTGACCACATTAATATTTTAAATTCAAGAAATTAGTATTTATCTTGTTTTTAATAAGGAATTAATTATTCCTTCTGAAGTCTTACTTAAATGTTACTAGTATGTCATTTGGACTATTTTTATGTTGCCTAATCAAAAAACATTAATAAATCAAATACAAGAACTATATGATTTCATTCATATGTGGGATACAAAACAAAAAGCAACAAACTCATAGACACAGACAACATTCTGGTGGTTACCAGAGGGCAAGAGGGAATGAGGGAAGGACTAAGAGGGTAAAAGGGGATGAGTATATGGTGATGGAAGGAGACTAGACTTCGGGTGGTGAACACACAGTGGAATATATGTTATATTATAAAGCGGTATACTTGAAACTTTTATAATGTTATTAACCAGTGTTACCCCTAATAAATTTAATTTATACAGGGTCCAAATTCAGTAATGCCACTGAATGTGGTTGGTAGGTGTGTGAATGCCTCGCATGAAATAGGCAGCAGTTTAAACATTTCACCTCAAATGTCATATGGTGTGCTTGAATGTGATATTGTTATGTTACAGAATGACATGCTTATGATTTAGTAATAAAAGAATTTTATGTAATAAAAGAGGGGCATTTTTTGTGCTGGGGCCTGTCAGGAGCGTCCAACCTGCGGCCCGCGGGCCACATGAGGCTCAGAATGGTTTTGAATGCGGCCCAACACAACATTGTAAATTTACTGAAAACATTATGAAAGTATTTTGTGATTACGTGTCACAATGCATTTAATGTGTGGCCCAAGACCTCTCTTCTTCTTCCAATGTGGCCCAGAGACGTCAAAAGTTTGAACACCTCTACATATATATTATGAAAGAATATAAAAAGTCTCAGCCCAGAGATTTTGATCTCATTGGTCTGGAGAGTGGATTTTAATGGATTTTAATGTGCAGCTAAAGCTGGGAAACAGTGCTTTAAGACTAGAAGCAAAGGTCCATAGTTCTCATCTGTAAACAACATGAACCTTTGGACAGATTGTTATCCTTAATTCCATGCAAGGATGAAAACACGCTCTGGTGTTGTGTAGAAGCCTGGCACTCAGTACATCACGGGGCCATTGAGGGATCCTAGACTCTTAAGCAATCCAGACAGAGGAGTTTTCTGGTATCAGGGTTCTAAGTCTATTAATGAACTAAAGCCAAAGTCACTCAAAATGGGACATTGACACTATTTTGCTACTTAAGAATACTTGTTTATTCTTTTGAGTAATCATAACTCAGTCAACACTCATAGGGAAAATAAAAGCTCACCATGATTTGAGCATGCCCATTAGGAAAAGAACTTGAAGAATCAGCATTGATTGGATCCTGACAGTTTCTCAGTCGGCATCTAAAAGCATCCTGAACCTGTGGGGAAAAAAAATGACAAAAGTTAATTTTCTTAGAAATGATTAATCATTTCTAGATATGATTAGATAATGACTACTGAGAAAGTGGTTTTCACTGTTTTTACAATCTAATGCCCATTTTGTTTACTACCTAATGTAACTGCTGGTATACCTAGGTTTGCTCTATGCCAAGGAAATTTATCACTTGTCATAATCTACAGAGGGAAGTATTGGGAACTCCTCAGCTATCGAAATGGCTATGTCTGGCTCAGCACTAATAATTCTCGCCAGAGGGCAGATTTATTTCCACTGTTACAAACAATATGTGTCTTTCAAGGGGGATTTACTATTTGGTATGGCATAATCTTTATAACTGCTTCACACATTGTGAAAGATGAGATTACTTAGTGATCTTTTGACTGAAATTGATTTGGGGATTTTCCTTTTATACCTCATGTAAGGGATCCTATTGGTGAGACTGTTTTTCATCTCCCTTCAAGTACTACATGTCCTGATGTAAAAGCAAAACACAGTAAAACAAAAAGATAACAAAATGGCTCTGTTTCTGATTGATTGCCTAAGGTGGGGATAAAAGGTCTCTTGGAAAAGCCATACTTCATAATATCCATTCACAGTTGGACTCTGAATAAAAAACAAACATATCACAAGGGAATTCGAAGAATATTATACCTTTTATTAAACAAGTGAATATACATGTATAGATGAATAACAAACATAGGAGCCATTGTTATTCTTATCACATGATGCCTCTGCATCGGCGTGTTCTTCCCACTTCCTGTGGCTCATTAGGCTCCTAACAAGCTGTTGATAAACATCGTCACAAGTAGCTTCTTATCTGAGCCAATGGCAAAGTCGTTTTATTAATACTTGTTTTCCTGACTTCACAATACTGACATTTTCCTTCTAGTATATTTGTTTTATTGGGATAAAGACCAATGCGTGGATGCAGTGGCATCTCCCATTTTCCTGAAGCGCCATTGGAGAGACTGCCAAGGTAAAACATGGAATGATGTTTTCTTTTGAAAAGCACTGATATAAAATATCCTGGCACTGTTTTGCTGTGAGATGTGCACAGTATGCATGTTAGAAAAAATCGGAGGCTAGCCCTGAGCGGCATGGCTTGGTCGGCTGGGCAGCACCCCCCAAAATGAAAGGTCGCCAGTTCCATTCTTGGTCAGGGCACACGCTTCAGTTTTGAGTCTGGTCCCTGGTCAGGATGCATACAAGAGATAGTTGATGGATGTTTTCCCCTCATGTCGATGTTTCTCTCCCTCTTTCTCTCCCTCCCTTCCTCTCTTTCTAAAAATAAACAAATAAAATCTTAAAAAAAGAAACATCAGAGGCTACTAAAGCTGTTTTCAGCTCCTCTCACCAGTATCATAAGACAGTAGCTGTCTCTTTCCTAAATTGCAAGATGTGAAAAGTGACATGGCATTTAGTAACCACCACAGAGTCTTGGCTGACCAGTTCAGTCAGGAGACCTTTGTCCACTAGTAGTTCTCCACCTCAGGTTCTAGTCCCGGTGATGAGACTACAATAGGGGTAAATTAAGGGAGTGGGAATGAACTCAAGGCTGTCTGACCTCTTTTTCCACTCTGATTCTAATATTTCCTGGAAAAAAAGAATGAGGAGTAACCTGATATGTGATAAAGTAATAATAAAACATTTGTCATGAGCATGGTTTCTGTTATGCAGAAATTTGCACTGGGGAAACCACTAAGAAAGTACATGTTTTCAGAAAAAAAATCCTAAGAACCAATGTCAATAAATAGGTACCTGCTAATTTTTTAATTTGTGCCCTGAGATAACTGTTAAAGCAAATTTATAAAGGAAGATAAATATGTTAGAAAATGCTGCCTTCTGAGAGCTGTCGCATGAAGACTGTTTACTATTTCTGAATACTAGCATATATAAGATATAAAGGTGACACTTGGTAATACCAAATATTATTTAACTGGTGCTCACTAACCACTCTATTTTCAGACCTTCAGAGTGTAGCTGTCAAGGATATTTTTGTCTCACAATAAAATATGCAAAAGCAACTTCTGTAAGCTTCTCTTCAAAATCAACTATTTGATAGCCTGAAGAAAATATTTAAAAAATTTATTTTTTTATACTATACATACACACAAAATCAATGCCCTAAACTACCAAAGTCCCAAATATGACAGTGGATTAAGGGCATGTCTACACTGCAGAATGATGTTAACTTCATAAATGAGTCAATGCTATTCAGAAGAAATATAAAACAGGAAAGCATAAAAATCCTCTAGTAAATTCAATGTCATTTTAATGGTAATATAAATATCATAATTTAAGTGTTAGAAATCTCTAACACTTTTAATGCCTCTGTTACTTCTAATTCAGAAAAATTTGCAGGAGATTCCAAATGCTTTGTTTGATATTTAAAAAAAAAACAAAACTTAAAAATGCAATGAGGCAATCTGGATGGTTTAGCCTAAAGTATTTGTCCAACACTGTCAGGGAAGAATGATTAGACTAGATTTCACACTGCTATTTCCTTGTCACAGAAAACGGTATTTCAGGTAATAAAGAATCTGGAAAGTATCTGCAGCTATTTAGAAACATTTTGATATTTATTTGACTTTCCTATCAGGTAAACAGAGACATCTTTGGTCAATCAATGTGAATGGTACTAATGGAGAACAATTGAAAAATTTTTAAAAGTCTTCAAGAACTTTAATGCCAGGCAATGAGAAAACAAGCAAGCAAAGACAGAGTCTAGATCTGGCTCTATCACCCTGAAATTAAAATGTCTGTGAAGGGTCATATTTACAGGCTGGACATTAACAGTCTTGGTGTCTTTCTTGCTCTGTGATTGAAATTGAAGAAAAATAATTGTTAAAATATTCAAATACTTATTATTTAAGTTCTTTAGGCTGACTAATAATTTGTGGAGAATAAATCCACAATTCAGGTAACTATTTTAAAATTATTTTTAGATATTAAATTCATTATAACATTGCAATAACACTGTTTTTTAAACTTATGTTAGACTAGTAAAGGCAATTTTTAAATAGGCCTGTCTAGAATCATTAAATATTTAACATAGATTATCGCACAGTTAAAATCTAGAGTTCACAATTTCCTGTCTTTATAAAACTCTGCCATAGGTCTTTCACCTTAATTTACAACCAGACAGAGGATTAAAAGGTATGGGGGTTGGGTGGGGAGTAGTAAAGAAGGAATATGTAATTAGCCTTAAAATATTTAGGGGACTTCAAGGAACTCTAATGTCATGTTGTGCAATGAGAAACAGAGTGGCCAGAAACATCGTCCAAAAGAAGGTGAGGTGGAAAGAATAAGCTATCAAGGTTGTCTTCTGCAAGCATCCTACTGGAGCCCCACCAAAGTTATTCTGACTACTGCCTGTTAGGCGCTGCTATAAAAACTCCAGAAAAAGCCACAAAACCTTTTAGAGTAGACGGATTGCTGGATGAGACAGGAGTGCAAAGAGGACTGCTCTGCTCGGGTGTGTCTTGCTCCTGTCTCTCTCCCACCGGGAGAGCTGTTGGGTTCAGCTCCGCAGCAGCAGCCCGAGGACGTCTCGGTTGGTCCTCGCTCTGAAGGCAGCTTGGCAGAGTGGGACTGTGAAAGTCGGTGCCAGCTTTAGAGCTTGCTGGGGAAGAGCACCGGGGGCTGTTTGGCAGCCTTGCCAATTCAAGAATCATCTCAGGAAAGAGCTGCACTGCTTGAAATGGCTCCCTATTTAGCACCTACTAGCTCAGACCCCAAATCTTCACCTTTTAAGAAGACACGTTCACCTCCAGTTATTCTGAGGATCATTTTAAGGCAAGAAAAGAAACAAAGTTACATTCTTGAAATAATTTGAGATTATTAGTGGAGATAAAGGGAGTTTCTTATGTGTTGTGTATTTTTATTTTTTCATGTCTCTAATGTCAACTATTGTTTCTCTTGATTTATACTTGAACAAATGGCGTGATTCTTTTTAATCACATTAAATTCTATATAATTTAATCGTTAAGTGAACAAGTAAGATTGTTCTCAGTTTTATGTGTATTATGCCAACTGACATAAGCAACATGAATGACCTCACATTATTAAAATATTACCTGACTTCTCTGATCAGGAAATAAACACAAATCATTTGCCATTTGATATAGACTGAAGGGGAAATATGGACTTTAGTCCCAAATTTCAGTCCTAATGACTTTCTATTAGAATCCTCTAACACCTAAAGGATCTTTCACTGAATCCAAAAATTATTGTAGGTTTTTCTTTTTTTGTATCAGTTTTGGGGGTCACAAAACCATCCCTAGATAACACTTCACATACATGATCTGCAAGATGTAAGAGCATTTCTGGAGCATGCAAGTGAGAAAAGAAGAATACGGAAGTTATCCGCCAGCCACCACCACCCACGCCTTCATAGAAAATATTTCATTTTAGTCTCATGCCATTCACTTGGAGGTAAAAAATAAAAACTTAATTCATGACCTCTTATTTCTTATATTTATTTATTTTTAAATGGAGGTCTTTTAGCCAATCAAGGATTTTTAATTTTAAACATTAAAAAAGTATTTATTTCTTTATTTTTAAAGAGAGGAGAAGGGAGGGAGAAAAAGGGAGAGAAACATCAATGTGAGAAACATTGATAGGTTGTCTCTTCTACACACTTTGACCCCAGAGACAAACCCGTGACCCAGGCACATGCTGTGACCAGGAATCAAACCTGAGACTTTTCACTTTGTGGGATGACAAGCAACCAACAGGGCCACATCAGTCAGGTCAGGGCTCTTATATTTATTTTAAACATTTATTCAAGACATATTCAACTTCCCGCCATCAGTTTAACCATGTTGCAAGGCAGGACTTAGGGTTCTGAAGGAAGGGGAGGTGGGATTTGCGTGTCCATATGGCCAGGTGCTCAGAATTTTGGGTGGCAGCAAGCCATGGCTGGACGCTGCCTGGCGGACAGGCCAGAGTTTGCCAACCTCTGCCATGAACTCTGTCTCA